TGCACCACCACACCCAGCTAAATTAGATATCTTGACATAAATGAAATGGAGTTCAATATAATTCTGATTAATCTTTCTACTCATATAAACTTTATCAAAAGTTGTTATATTTTTAGTGGTTTTTCAGAGACAGGGTCTTGCTATGTAGTTCAGGCTGGCCTTAAACTTGTGGCAATCCTCCCATCTCAGCCTTCTGAATGCTGGGATTTAGGCATGCACCCCCACACCCAGCATTTTTTTTTTAATCATTTATTTTATTGTGGGGAATAGGATCTTGTGCTCCATAGCCCAGGCTGGCCTCGATCTCAAACTCGTGGTGATCCTCCCGCATCAGCCCCTTGAGTTCCGGGATTACAGGTGTGCACCCCCACGCTTGATTCCATATTCCCTCTTGTAAGGACACTAGTGTCATTGGGTTGGGGCTGTCTCTAATAGCTTCAATTCAAGTTAGCCCCTCAGAAGGCCTTTCCAAATATTGAGTTCTGAGGTACTGAGGGTCAGGGCTTCCACACGTGAATATGTGTCGGGAGGGATACAATCTGGGGCACTATGGACACTTCGTGCCTTCGAGGTGAGAAATTAGGAAAGCAGGCTCGGACTCCCTATGTCCTCAGCAGAAGGGCCCTCGGCAGGCTCCCATGCTTGTGAAATGCTGCATAAGAGCTCGTTTTATTTTCTAAAGGTTATTTTGCTAGCTGGGGATCTGAAGCTAGGCCCTCATGTGCTTGAGGCAGGCAGGGGCTGTACCCCTGAGCTCACCCCCAGCCCGAGCCTTCTGAATGAAGGGATGCATGACCTGATTTTATCATCAAGGGGCAGGTGACAGCCCCTGGCAGTGTGAGAGGCATCTTTCTACCAAACTCACACGACCTGAACGAGCAAGCAAGCCAGGTGTCTGGTGGGTGCCGGTCAGAAAACCCTGCGGCGGAAGCTGCTCCTCAAGGTAGATCGCCGGCATCCTGCACAGAGACTTCTGGGGCAAGTGGCAGGAAACGTCACTCCAGCCCCACCTGCCCCTGGTGGGCCGGAAGATCACCACCACACAGCGCTCATCGAGCTGGCTGGGCTCACCCAGATGCCAGAACCTGCAGGTCACAGGAAGGATCAGCGCTGTGCTTTAGGTAGTGTTTGGACAGGGTCAGGTCCAGGTGTGCAAACCGCTGCTGTCCACCTCGCAGCTGCGTCTCCGCCCGGGCCTCTTCTTCCCTGGACCCTGCTCCCCAAGCCCCATTCTCTGTCCTCCGAAGCTGACAGGGCATGTTCACCCCCCAGCATGGCCCAGAGGAGCCCCGTTAGCCTGTCCAGTCCCTGTGGCCACAGAGCTGCCCCCAACACACACCCACGCGTCTCCTGTCTGCACAGCTCTGCGCTCGGGTGGACCCAGGCCTCTTTCCTGAGTGCCAGCCCTGCCCGCACTGCTTCCCGTGGGCTGCCGTCTGCTGCAACCTTTTGTTCTGAGCAAAGGAATTTAATTTCTCTGATTCTCAGTTTTCCCATCTTAAAACACGGGACAACAGCGATACCCCTGTGTGTTTCGCATAGCTGATGTGAATGCCAAAGGCAGTGGTGTACTCAAAAGTGCTTTAATGGGGGCTGGGGATTTAGCTCAGCGGCAAAGCGCCTGCCTGGCAAGCGCAAGGTCGTGAGTTC